TGCACCTTGTTGTCTCGGATTCTCCAGCATCTGCAGTTCCTACTATCTCTGAATATTTTGGCCCAAACCATTTTCTGTGGTAGAGAATTCCACGGGCTCACCATCCTCTATGTAAAGAAATTTATCCTCATCTCAGTCTTAAATGGTCTATCATTTCTTTAAACTGTGACACCTGTTCTGGACTTCACAGTCACTGGGAGCATTCAGATAGAGTGATTCTCTCCTGTTGAATACAATGATTATCTGGCGCTTGTATGGTGCAAAATTACTTGCCAATGATCAGCCCAAGACTGAATACTGTCCAGATCCCGCTACAGTTGGTCCTGAACTGCTTCAGTGTTTGCAGAACTATGAATGGTACCGAACTTTCAATCATCAGCAAAGATCCGCATTGCTGACCTTGTAATGGAGGGAAAATCATTGATGATACCGTTGAAGATCATTAGGTCTTTGACAGTCTGTTACTTATTACCAAAGAATCTAAAAAGTAAATGTAAATCATAGCAAATATTTACTGTTAACAATGTCAGAGGGAACTATAAAGATTAGTTTAAAGCACAATCCTTAGTAAGTGTAATCTTAAAATGTCCCTACTTGTACTGGGTATCCATCATATTCAAGGCGCAACTGTGGATCCAAGTATAAGACCTGCCAACAACTTAGGAATGAGAGCTCATCTAACAAATTCACGAGCTGCATCCGGGATCTTTTGGCAAACTTCACAAATAACTTGGTATCACTTGTCAGGTACAGCTGCAAAAGAAAAACATGTTTTTTTTATTAGGACAATGGTCATGGGGATAAATACTAAAACAAACATTCAATATTGGATTCTGTAAATTCATACAGGCATATATCAAATTGTTAAAACATGCAATTATATTCTGAAAGCTGATCATAAATCTACGACAAATCATGAATTACATCTACCTGCCCAGAGACCCCTTCCAATGTTCTGAGGGCAAAGCTCTGTCCATATCGGAGAGGTTCACCAACACAACTGCCATCAATACTAACAAAAGAAATGATTAGCATGAGTGTGCAAAATGTACATATTGTGCAAAATATTTTTAAAAGTCAATTATAGTATAACGTTCCTATGTATTCCAGCACACTTCTCATTGGTATTACATAAACCATTGCCTGTAAACATAGGGTCAACCAAAACTCTGCTGTACCTCTGATGCATCTCAGATTTTAATAACTTCAGTGCTAATGTCTTCAGATGCCAAGACCCTAAACTCTACATTTCTGTCCCTTAATCATTCTGCCTGTCTACTTTATGTTCCCTCCTTTAAGGTGTTCCTTCTTTAATCATGCTTTTGGTCATCTCCCCTAACATTTCATTAGGTAGCTTGATATTAGATTTTGTCTAGTTTTGTTCCTGTGGAGGGCATTGGCATGTTTAACAATCTTAAACGCTCCATATTAGCAGTGGATTTTACTGGCACATATACTCAAGTACAAAAGTACATGAACACAGTGAAAAGTGTACAATGTCGCCATTCCCAGTGCCATCTTAGGTATAAAGGTACCTAGGTACAAGTAGAAAAATAAAGAAACTAAGTTAAAAGCTAAACAGTCTGTTTTAAGTGGTTAGCCATACTGGGCTCACACTCCCTATAAGGGCTCGATCTCCTCCGTTTTGGCCCGTTTTCTGAGAGACCTTGGACTCCCTGCTCTCATCACCGCTGCTCCTTATCAATTAGTTTAGGATTTTTTTTAAAGCTATTACAAACTAAGCTACCTGATTATATAATTGAGAATGTTTCTGCTATTTTGTACACCATAAATACGTTCTAATTTAAAAAAATATATAAAGCACTTTTAATGGATTGATTGATACCGGCCACACATTAAGGTTCATCAATGACTGTTGCAATCAAGAAAACAGTAGAATATTAACATGTTTAATATATACACTATCAGCTAAAGAAAGTGAACCAAAGAGGGAGAAACTAACACATTTACAAAATACTTGTATTCTCAGATTCCGTTATGTCATGTTACAATCTTCCAACTAGCATTATTCTGTCCAAAGATCAGTAATGGGGATGATGTAAGTGCTGTCCAAAATCTCTATATGTATCAATGGGAGTCTTTTTGATATACATTCAAGGCATGTAGACAAGCATTTATTGTCTAACTGCCCTTGAGAAGTTGGTGAGCCACCTTCTTGAACTGTTGTAATCTGTGTAATAGTCAAAGACTGAACTCCACTTGCCTTCTAAAGCTTATAAAAAAGTCTGGGTAAAATGCATTGGATTCAAACTGGTTTGCTTGGCAGAAAAACTAGGACTGATTGTATCCTATATTTCTTAAATTAAGCAAATGAAAGGGAAAAGATTGACCACTAATAAAACAGTAATTTTTAATATCAAAAAACATTAATTCAGAAGAAACACTCATAAACCAAATTAAAAACCAATCTTCTTACCTTGTAACAACAAAAGTATTTCTAATAGTGGGGCTTAAGTCCAGGCTGGCACTCACTTCACACGGTGAATCAACCTTTGTACTTGTCAGGAATCTACTTTGATCAACATTCATATTCAATGCCATGGGACGACGAAGTGGATGGATGTTGGTTGCATGTTTGGTTTCAGTACCAGGATTAATAAGTAACACTGCATCACCAAAATGAACGTGTCCATCACTGCTTTTGGCAAGCTCAGTCTAAATAAGTTGGAAGAAACCAATTTGTTACATTTTAAGCAATATTGTCTCATATAGGACAAATCTAAAGTAACAATTATATGTCACATGATGCTATGAATTGCAGAAGTTCAGCTTTTCATCATATTATAAATTTCATGGGTCATTTTATTCACGCCAAATCCTTTAATTCTCTGATTGCGGTGTTAACTTAGAAAGTAATGGCTCAACTGATTGATTGATTGATTGGTTGGTTTATTGTCATGAGTACCGAAGTACAAGAATATAGGCAAATCACAAGCACACTGATGCTATAGGTGGGAGATACTGTTCATTGTGAAGGATTAATGATTGTGGCAAGTTTATTTAATCATATAATTAGCAGTCACTTATCACTTAATTTTACTACAGCATACATTTACTTTTAGGCGGTATAAACCAGAAAATTATCCCACAAAGAGACATAATGAATAAGTAATCAGTCTTCTATGACATCACTTTCAGATAATCTTGTGTGTGGAACCTAATAGTACTGAAGACTTGTGCTCCAGGATTTGCCACTTCCCTAGCTAAGTTCTTCCAGTACAGTTACAACACCGGCATCTACCCAACAGTGTGGAAAATTGCCCAGGTATGTCCTGTACATAAAAAGGACAAATCCAACCCGGCCAATTACTGCCCCAACCATCTTCTCTCACTCATCAATAAAGTGAGTGTCATCAATAGTGCTATCAAGCAGCACCTGCTTAGCAATAACCTGCTCAGTGACACCCAGTTTGGATTCCGCCAGGGCCACTCGGCTCCTGATCTCATTACAGCTTCGGTTCAAACATGGACAAAAGAGCTTAATTCCAGAGGTGAGGTGTGAGTGACAGCCCTTGACATCAAGACTGCACTTGACTGAGTGTGGCATCAAAGAGCCCTGACAAAACTAGAATCAAGGGCAAACTCTCCAATGTTTGGAGTCATACCTGGCACATAGGAAGATGGTCGTGGTTTTTGGGAGGTCAGTCATCTCAGCTCCAGGACATCTCTGCAAGATTTCCTCAGGGTAGTGTCCTAGGTGCAACCATCTTCAGCTGCTTCATTAATGACCTTTCTCCATCATAAGGTCAAAAGTGGGGATGTTCACTGATGATTGCACAATGTTCAGTGCCATTCACGATACCTCAGATACTGAAGCAGTCTGTGTTCAAATGCAACACGATGTGGACAATATTTGGGCTGAGGTTGACGAATGACAAGTAACACTCATGTTACACAAATGCCAGGCTATGACCATCACCAGTAACAGACAATGTAACCACCACCCCTTGACATTTAATGGTATGACATTCACTGAATCCCCCACTTTCAATGTTCTTAGAGTTACCATTGACCAGAAACTCAACTGGCTCACCATATAAACACAGTGGCTAAAAAAGCAGGTCAGAGGCTAGGAATAATGCAGCGAGTAACTCATCACCAGAATCCTCAAACCCTATCCATCATCTACAAGGCACAAGTCAGGAGTATGGTGGAACAGTCCCCAGTTTCCTGGATGGGTGCAGCTCAAATGACACTCCAGCAGTTTGACACCATCCAGGACAAAGCAACCCACATGATTGGCACCACATGCACAAGCATCCACTCCCTCTACTACTGATGCTCAGTAGCAGCAGGGTGTACTATCTACAAGATGCACTGCAGAAATTCGCCAAAGATCCTCAGACAGCACCTTGCAAACCCATGACCACTTCCATCTAGAAGGACTAGGGCAACAAATACATGGAAACACTACCATCTGCAAGACCCCCTCAAGTCACTCATCATCCTGACATGGAAATATATCGCTATTCCCTCACTGTCGCCAGGTCAAAATCCTAGAATTCCCTCCCTAACGGCATTGTGGGTCAACCCACAGCAGGTGGACTGCAGTGGTTCAAGAAGGCAGCTCACCATCACATTCTCAAGGGCAACTAGGGACTGACCATAAATGTTGACCAACCAGCAATGCCCACATCCCATGAATGAATAAAAAAAAAACCTGATTGTAATACCTAAGGACTAATTCTTTAAGATAATGCTTAGGTGTTCCTACAGGCTAATTTAGCCCTGAAATCAATTTAGACTACTACAACCTCCAAGCTGCTTGAATGTCTCATATATTGATGTGACTGATCTAGTCAGTCCTGGTCAATGGTGAGTCCTGTGTCTTGCATAGTTGGAGGGGGGAAATGTTTGATGTAAAGTCATAGCGTATCAAAGGGGGAGGGGGGCAGTCATGCACTCCTTTGTTGAAGTTGTTCATTACCTGTCACTTGTGTGTTATGAATGCTATTTATTATTTTTTAATCAATTCAAGCCTGAATCTTATTTAGACCATTGGTCTTCGTGGCATTTCTGAGGAATTACAAATGGAACTGTACACTGTGCAATTGGTCTTCATCTTGGACCTTATAGTGGTGAAAAGGTCATTAATGATAACAGTCATATTGAGGACATTGCCCTGACAAATTTATGCAGTGATGTTCTAGGACTGGCAATGATTAGCTTCCAAAAACCTCAAACTTCTTCCTTTATGTTTCCACCCAGTGGAGAGATCTTCCCGAATCTCCAGTGAATTCAATTTTACTAGGGATCCTTGAGGCAATATTTGATATCAACAGCAATCACTTGTTCCACAACTTTGGCCTTTATGAATTAAACTGAAGTCAGAAAATGATGGAACAGCCACTACAATTAATCTCAGATAAAAGGATAAAATATCCAGATTTACCATTTCTAGTTTGCAACCTAATAATGCTTGTAGCTATGAGTGGCTCTCAAGCAGGGTGAAGCTTATTCTAATATTTTACTGGTATGCTGACTTTAATTGTTTTTTGGGCAGGGGATGCATACAGAAGCATGTCAACACAAATCAGAAGGAACAAGGAAATCCAGTTCTAATAGTTTATCATCATAACATTTTAGTTAGACTCCTAGTTTCTCTTTGTGTTCTCTCAGCTTTACCCAATTCACCAGAATTCTTTTGCAGGCAGGCTTCCCAAAGAAACACAGTGCAAACAGTTCGCTCATGTGTGTCATTTTCTACATCCTTAGGCCAGCAGAGATTTCTAAGGTACTCAGTGTGATCCAAAGTGCTTCACATCAGTCACTGTTGTTACACAGGCAAATTTTTCAGTTAATTTTCACGCAGAAATGTTACACAAAGACCAATGAGTTAAAAAGTCATTTTTTCCAATGTTAATTTGGGAATAAAAGTTGGCCAGGCAACTCCCAGGCTTTACTTTAGGATTTTTAAAATCAATTTGTTTAAGGGATTATGAACAGGATCTCAGTTTAATACCTTATCCAAAAGACCACAGGTGATACATCAAGATTTACATTGCAAGTACCATGCTTTTTCAAGGTGATGCAGGCAACATATAAGCAGCAAGGGAACAACACGCTCAAGGTTCGCAAATGCTATGCTGGAGGGCTAGTGCATAAGGACTTTAGAAGGAAACAGGCCTTTCTTCACCAAAGATTGGCCAGAACACATTCCACACAAGCCAATGGGTACAGGTAACTGTCATGATCAATGCCAGCATACTAGCCCTGAGGAACTGCATACAATATTGACTCAAGTATCATGGCCTCACTCAAGTGGTTAAGGTTGATGAATGTTATTGCATGCCATATCCTTCCAGTTGCACAACACCACACAATTACATGTGTCTATCAACAACTGATATCAACCGTAATTAATACCTCACCTTCAATGTTTCATTACATCCTCACACTTCTCAGTGCCTGAGTTAAAATTACAGTTGGTTGGAACAGGACAGGAGGCTAGCGGATAAGTCTCCCACACCAACTTTACTGTCTGACCCATCTTGTTTCCATTATGTGAAGGATTAGATTTCTCCCTTACCCCTGCATCTTATCAGAAGAGGGAGGCAGAGGCAATATATCCCCAACAACAGAAAGATCAAATTTAGCATTTTTTTTTGTTTCATGGGTTGTGGGTATTTCCAGCAAGGCCAGCGCTTGTTGCCCATCCCTAATTGCCTTTGTACTGAATGGAAAGCTAAGCCATTTCAGAGGCCAATTAAAAATCAAACACACTGTGTGTCAGGATTCAGATGTAGGCCAGACAGGTTTGAGACAGTAGTTTTCCTCACCTAAAGTGAATCAGATGGGTTTAATGAAAGCAATAACAGTTTCTCTAAAGGTATCTGAAATAAGTTGTATAGTTAAAGAGCACTTCTTGAGCCAGGGACCTGTCTGGATTGTGTAGTTTAGTTGCTCATACTCCTTTAAACTGTTGAACCATTGAGGAGCTGGGTCAGACCTTGCTGGCATAAACACTTTAATGGTCACTTATTTTCATACTGTCCTATCTATAAAGGATTGTAGTAAACATCTCATCCTCTTATGGTGTCCTGTGCTTCAATTTCTTATTGCTTCTCCATTCCCTTGCAAAATATATAACTTCAAAAAGCCATGTAAGATCAGATGCAAGATGTTATCTGTTTAAAACTTGGGGATTCTAAAAGATAGACTGATAGGGGTCTACTGCATACAAAAAGGCTCTTTGACCCATCCAGTCTGCAGCAGTCAAAAACAACGACTTAACTATTCTAATCATTTTCCAGTGCTTGGCCCATAGCCTAGATTTAAGACATACATTGTTGACTTCAATGTTAAGTAATAAAAGCTTTAGGATAATAAATTTTCCTGCTTACATTTGATTTTGAACAATAGGAAGAGGTAAAGTTCAGAACCAAAGTTATTCTGAGTATTTCAGAAGCATCTAAAATGATTTTAAAAGACCATCCAACACTTGACTGCCCACCCTTCCAACTACCTCTAATTCACACAAGGCACATATTTTTCTTCCATGCATCAATTAGGGAGTTTTTTTAAAGTTTTAACTTATGAGCATTGATGTAGTCTTTTTTTTTAATTTTTAAGTATTTATTCCATTAATAGCTTGCTGGAACTCAAAATTATTTGCTGTGTTTCGAAGTTCCTGGGGGAAATTCGGCAAAGGAAGC